TTCCTGACTCTAGGGCACCCCTGGGGAAAAGTTAAGGCTTGGAGACATTCTTACGGTGTTTTTGGCCATGTAGCCACTGGTCCTGTGTGGCTTCAAGGACCTCTTTGTAACTTATATACTTCCCTGCTATGACAAGAGTGCCAGTGTCACTCACCCAGTAAGGCCAAGTATGGTAGACAGGCCTTTGCCAGGTAAGTTTAAGGCCTTGTTCCACTGTCTTCTGGCTGCCTGAAGCTGTACTACCTTCCACATCTTCAGTTGATACAAAGTGGGGTTGGAGAATGAAAGGCAAGGCTTGGCCCCGGGACACATGAAAGGGGTGGTACTATGTACCTGGGGCAGGTACTAGCCCACTGCCCATCAGTGCCAGGAACCTCGGGGAATCCTGGATTTTCCACTTGGCCACCATGGCTGCGCATACCCAACTTACTTACAGAGAGGTTGGGAATTTCAAGTGAAATAGGACTCCCTGAAAGGGGGCAATGACAGAAGGACTCAGACTCCTGGGTGTCTTGGTTCCTTGTTTCACATTGGCTGGAAAACCCCCAGAGGTGCTTATTACTCAGGGCAAAGATTTACCTCCAGAAACCACTGATATAGGGGTAGAGTGAGGCTGCCCTAATGGGTTCACCCAACTGCACTGACCCTAATTCTGTATGCAGATCTGAAGCATAGAAACTTGTAATGACTACCAGTTATTTTTTTCTCGGTATGGTTGTACAGTGATTCTTCTACCTGCTTGTAGGCAGGTTTTCTAAGACAGTCTGGTCTCCTGGAGTCTGGAGAGGCCAGTGGTACAGATTTCAGAATGTGGTCATAAGGCAGCATGGCCAGCTTCCCATGGGGAGCAGCCTGAAGGAAGCGGCCCTGAGTAGCAGTGTTGTGTGTTTCAGAGTGATCATAGGATCAGAGCTCACAGATGTGCAGGTGTGTGCCTGATTTCCCCTCTTGGGTCTCCTGTCCAGGATCTGGAAAAACTCCATTTTGCCAGTGGTAACTGCTGGACCTGTATCTGGGACCACCTGACTTTTTGTCCCTTTCTTGATACCTCCATAACTGGGAAAGTATTTATTTCTGATAAAGAGGACAATTAGTACATGACAGTAACTGGACCAGGACCATCAGCGACTCATGGGAAGTGATTGGTAGAAAGAAGAGACTGTTCTTGGGCTCAATAACTGTTAAAGAAATATTAATCAATCTGCATTTATGGAAGGCCCTAATGAGAACATGAAAGGCTCCTGCACGCATATGTTTCTGGTGTAGATGTTCAGAGGAGGAAAGGATATACCTGTTCTGATCGAGGAGGTTGTGTGTGACCTGGGCAGCCAGCAGAACTGTCCAAATAGCTGCTTGAGGGCACATGAGCCCAGGCTCCCCTCACTCCTCACAGGAAAGGAGGGGATGTGTGGTTATACAGACAGGTATTCTGAGGGACCAGAAAGAGCAAAGACAGGTGTCTTTCATGGTCAGTGACTGAAGTGGCTAGTGATAGATTGTGTCGGCTAGTTCATGGCTCTGGTTCTGTTCTTCTTTCTGGCATTCTCCCTCCTTACATGTCTTCATTTGGATCCCCTAGAATTCCTATGGTGCCAGGGCCTTCGAGTTCTGGGAGCCTCCTTTCTGCAGGCATTCCTGAGACTCATCTACTGCCCTGCCTCAAGGGCTTTGTCATGGACTTTGCTGGCCTAGAACCTAGATGGGAGATCCTTTGGCCACATCAGACATTTTTATTAGGGGGTATGAGGTCTGCTTCTCCCACAGATGGATTAGTACAGTAGGATCCCCAAGGTCCTTAACAAGGCAGCCTGGTCGGGTGCCTGCCTGTCAAGTAGGAATAAGGGTCAGCTTCTGGTTCCTGACACCATAATGAATGCCTGGCTGGTGTTCCCTATATAGCATTCAATGCCCTCACCATAAGGGCCGATATGGAGTGGTAGGTGGTGGAGCAGGACAGAGTCAAAGGGATTAAGCCTTTAGCGCAGGGCAGTCTAGAGCTTCTAGGCAGTCAGGCCAGAAGAGGGAGGCAGAAGACACATTTTCTGCCAACCCAGAGCCCCAAACTTCCTCAGAGCTGTGTACACTCAGGAGCCAAGCCATGGAGATTCCAATGAGCACAGACCTTCCCCAAGCACTCCACTTCAAGATGATCTTGGATTGTGCTTTGGCCCGTGTGATGTCTGTTGTACCGGTCCCCAACTTTACCCAGGTGTTGTGCCTCCCCCTCTGGCAGTAGAACAGTGCCTACAGCACCTACTCAAGGACAAGGACACTCCGTGCCGCCAGGATTGCTCTGTGGGGATTGCTGGCTCAGGAGTGTGTGGGGACCCAAGGCTCTAAATATACCATGGTGAGGTCACTAGGGCAGAGACAGGCCACGTGGCAGGCCCAGGATCCCATTAGGCCAGCATCCCAGGGCTAGGGACAGGAAAGCAGGTGGCCTCACTGCTCCCGTGGGCCTGGCCTCACTGCCCCATCTCCTCCTACCCGAAATTCCTGCCCATGTCACATTAAAATAGAGGCACATGGGGCCCTTCCTGGTGGCACAGGAAGTAAGTAAAGCACAGCAGTAAGAAGCAAAAGCCACCTGCGCATGAGTTCGATTCCCGCCTGCGCCAGAGGTGACCACATGGCGTGGCAGACCTCTCCTGACCCGCCCGCTGCTCCCCTCGTCAGTGTACTTCGTTGATCTGCCTGTTCTGCTCCCCGCTCTGTCTCTGGTGAAGCCTCTCGCCGCCCCTGAGCCTCTGACCTGTACCCCACTTCTGTATGTGCAAATAAATAAATCTTTTTTAAAAAAAATAGAGGCACATGGAGGAAGGCCTACATGTCCTCTCAGATCCCTGCCCTGGCTCTGCTTGGAGTTGGTCTTTAGGGCCGTCTGGATGTTTGTGGAGACAGCCCTAAAAGAACATCACAGGCAAGTTTTTGTTGATAGAGGAGCAGATTTTGGTATATGTGTGCAGGGAACCCCGGGTGGGGAATCACTGTCTTGCTTCCAGGGGAGACACACTGAATGGGGTAACCCTGCAAGAGCATATCAAAGATTTGAGGGAACACGTGCTAGCAGAATGCCAGCATCAAGGATGTTTGTTTATGAACTCCAGAGCTTGGGGCCATGGCAGATGCAAGGTGTGGACCTAGACTATCCAGACTACACTCTGATGAAGAACAGAGACCCTTTCCTGGCTGGACCCTAACCCCACAACAGTGGAGCAGGAAACCACCTCTCAAAAGGAGGACAAACTACTGACACTTAGATCTCAAACAACGAGACAGCTAACCTCCTGATGTCTAAAATGTGTCATTTAAGCCTCTGGATTGTGGTCATTTGGGCAGTGACAAAACTAGTATCCCAGAGTGCTGGCGGGGGTTGTGGCATTAGTCCTACTGGTGGCAGTCACAGTCATGGCCTTGGGACTGACAGCCCTTTGAGCTACTGTGTGTTAGCCTGTTATACTGGTGCCCATTGTGATTATAACCTTGATTTCCCCTAGTGCAGTGCTGCACACATGGGAATCTCCCCCATTAGAAAGCTGGGCAAAGTGGGGAGGCCAGTGATATTGGGCCCTTATAATGTTAAAAGAGGGCAAGCAAGGTAGGATGATATTTTCTTTTCATGTGTGGTAAAGTGTATCCACAAGCTGATGTATATGTCCAAGCACAGACTTGGACATATAAGAAAAAAGTTGGAAGATACACAGACATGTCACAGTGACTAGGTGAAAGAGTCACCAGGGCCCTCTCAGGCATTAGGATTTGTATTGTGCCAGTAGGGAGGGGAGAGGTGATTCTTCCAGCACCTTAGACACATGTAAGTGCTGGGGCTGGAAACTGAAAGACCCATCCTTCAGATCTTTCACTGAGATACTTTTTCAATACTTTATACCAGGCTGAGGCTGCCCCTTCATCACTGCTATCTTGTATGAAGAAGTAGAGACTCTTAATTTTGATGAAGCCTGATGTTGGTTGTTCCCGCCCCGCAGGGGCCCCCCCCCCGGCCCATTATCGTTAGTGCTTTGGAGCTTTGTCTACTCCAAGTTTGCAAAGATGATATTATGTTTTGGATTTTTTTTTAAATAAGTCTGAGAGTTTGGGCTTTCATATTTAGTTCTGTGATTCATTTTTGATGAACATTGATGTATGTACTACTACTTGGTGTAAATTATATCACGCAGTATATATTTTCTGTGGCCTCAATGCTGTAGTTTGAATTTCACCTTGTTGGAGCACTGGACCCAAGATTTGCTCATATCTGTTGCTGTTGAAATTTTTTGGCCTGTTCCTTCCTCTCTTGGAAGACTTGGGTGTCCCGTTGACCACCTGACCTTATGCTATCACCTCTCTGTAAAACGATAATAGTATCTCTCCACTGGGTTATTGGTGATTATTACACATGATGGTGAGGGATGGAAACATGCATTGTCACCCAGTATGGCTCATGTTGACCTTCACCTGACAAAGTCCATTGCCCCAAGAGCTGACTGAGCTCCATCCAGTATTACCAGCTACTGTCAGCACACCTGCCAGGTAGGGGTGTTTCTGGGTGTGCACTGTGGGGGTCTGCTTTTCCTAATCACTAGGATGAGTACCATGCTGTGGTTAGTTTGCCCAGTTGGCCTGTTGGTGTCTCTGGGCTATGATCCAGACACCAGTCCTCAGCGCCTGAAGTACCTGTCTTCTTTCTACTGTGTGACTTTTTTTCATTATCAGATACTGTGAACAGAACTGATTAGGTTATGACATATTCATCTTTTAAGTTTGGTACTTTTTGACAAATCCTTTAGCCCACCCATTTCTTATAATAAGGCAGAGCAGAATATATCTCCTATATCCAGAGCAGACCATGTTTCATAAATGTCCTTAGTTGCAGTTGGCAGTCACACACATGGGTGGTAAACTGCACACCGTGCACTAGAGGAAGTGAGCAGGAGGGAGAGGCTGGAGCAGGCTGAGGTGGGAGAATGGCAAGGGTCTAATATGTCACTTTTGTTTTGCAGATCCGGAACATGGTGGCGGTGCTGGAAGTCATCTCCAGCCTGGAGAAATACCCTATTACCAAAGAGGCACTGGAGGTTAGTGTGTGGGGGAACTGTCAGAACTGGGAAGCTTTAGTTTATCTAAATTACTTTCTCTTGCAGGAGCCTGGCATGTTTGTGGGAGAAGGGAGTGGATAAGTGTGTCCATGCAGGTAACAGTGAGTGACCATGGCCCAGGGTCCACTGTTGCCTTTGCCACAGAATGTTTCTATCAAAGAGTCCTTGCAAGTTGCCTTGGTAGTATGGTGCTTCTGAAAAGGCTGCCCTTGGTCCCAGGAATCTAATGCCTGAAGATGAGATTTGAAAATTTGGATGCCATATAGCACCCTAGAACCCCATAGATTTTATTTCTGGGCTCAGTGTCAGTGATCTCTCTCTGTCTCTGGTTGTAGGAGACACGACTTGGGAAGCTCATCAACGATGTGCGCAAGAAAACGAAGAATGAAGAACTTGCCAAGCGGGCCAAAAAGCTGCTGCGGAGCTGGCAGAAGCTTATTGAGCCTGTGCACCAAAGTGAGATGGCACTGCGAGGCTTAGCAGGCACTGCTGGCTCAGCCAATGGGGGCGCGCACAACTGCCGGCCAGAAGCAGGGCCAGCTGGCACACCCAAGAGCATCCATGACCTGAAGAACCGCAATGACATCCAGCGGCTGCCTGGGCAGCGACTGGACAGGCTGGGCAGCCGCAAACGCCGAGGGGACCAGCGTGATCTTGGCCACCCTGGACCACCGCCTAAGGTCTCCAAATCGAGCCATGACTCCCTGGTACCTAACTCATCCCCCCTCCCCACCAATGGGATCAGCGGGAGCCCAGAGAGTTGTCCTGGCCCCTTGGACTGCAGTGGGCACTTGGGCCCTGAGGGCAGCCGCCTGGAACCAGGTGAGAATGATAAGCATGGTGGCAAGATCCCTGTTAACGCTGTGCGACCGCACACCAGCTCCCCAGGCCTAAGCAAGCCTCCGGGTCCCTGCTTGCAGACAAAGGCTGCGGTGCTGCAGCAGCTGGACAGGGTGGATGAGACTCCTGGCCCCCCATATCCCAAGGGGCCACCTCGTTGCTCTTTTAGTCCCCGGAACTCACGGCACGAGGGTTCCTTTGCCCGGCAGCGGAGCCCTTACACACCCAAGGGCTCTGTGCCCAGCCCCTCACCACGGCCCCAGTCGCTCGATGCCACACAGGTGCCATCACCACTTCCGCTGGCTCAACCATCTACACCCCCTGTACGGCGGCTTGAGTTGCTGCCCAGCACAGAGAGCCCAGTGCGCTGGCTGGAGCAACCTGAGGGCCACCAGCGGCTCACAGGAATAACCTTGAAGGCAGGACTCTGCTTGACCGAGCCCCTCCTGACCCGTGCAGGCTTCTCCCCAGACTCCTCCCGGGCAGACAGTGATGCTGCCTCTTCTGGTGGCTCGGACAGCAAAAAAAAGAAGAGGTACCGGCCTCGGGACTACACAGTAAACTTGGATGGGCAGGTGGCTGAGGCAGGTGTCAAGCCTGTCCGGTTAAAAGAACGGAAGCTCACCTTTGACCCCATGACGAGACAGATCAAACCTCTGACCCAGAAAGAGCCAGTGCAGGCTGACAGCCCTGTGCACACGGAACAGCCCAGGACAGAGCTGGACAAACCTGAGGCCAAGGCCAGCCTTCAGAGTCCTTTTGAACAGACGAACTGGAAGGAGCTGTCGCGAAATGAGATCATCCAGTCCTACCTGAGCCGGCAAAGCAGCCTGCTCTCATCGTCGGGTGCACAGACCCCGGGCGCTCATCACTTCATGTCTGAGTACCTGAAGCAGGAGGAGAGCACCCGGCGCGGGACCAGGCAGCCACATGTGTTGGTGCCGCATGACCCGCCTACTGACCTCCCAGGGCTAACCCGGGAGGTCTCACAGGACGATCTGAACCGAATCCAGGCCCACCAGTGGCCTGGAGTAAACGGTTGTCAGGACACACAGGGTAACTGGTATGACTGGACACAGTGCATATCGCTCGACCCGCATGGCGATGACGGGCGGTTGAACATTCTGCCTTATGTCTGCTTGGACTGACCGGCTCTCGGCCTCCAAGTGTATTCCCACCTTGCAATTAGCCATGGCAGGTGGGTGAGCGGGCGGGTGGGCAGGGCCCAGCTGCCTCAGGTGGTTGGGAATCCGGCCTAGGCAGGAGGGAGGGGACTGGGTCTCCAGGTCTCTCTGAGCTCTTCCCTCAAAATTCTCCTTCTTTTGTGAAATGCTGCTACCAGTTTACTAACAAAATTGCAAAGGAAGGATCGCGTGGAAGGAAGGCCGGCAAAATGAGTTTAGAACTCTATAGCAAACCAGCTATAAAAAGCGTTGATCCCCACCCAGAAGAGGTGTGGACACCCCAGCACCCACATGCTGGGACCCCAGTTGCAGGCAGGCACAGAAAACCTGTGGGAGGTCACCTTGAACATGGCAGCAGAGGCACGCGTCTCATCTGTGTGCAGTTTCTGTTTCTCAATCTGGGCTGAAGCAGGGGGCATGCTGCCGCCTGTTTGTAGCCCACATGGCATTGGGCAGGCCAGCTGGCCAGCCGGTTTAACCCTTACTCCACGGGCATCCACACATTTGTATTTGGTTTCAGTTAAAGCCCAGTTTTTAAAGCAATGCTGCAAAAATTTAAGTTTTCGACAGTTTATTTTATCCTCTTCTTTCCATCTGACCACAAGCCAAATAATCCCCTCTCCCTTTTTTCCCCCCTTTCCTGCACTTATCTAGAAAAGGTCACCTTTCTAGAGCCCCCTCCCCAAAACATAAAAGTAACTGCGGGTGCTACTGGTGTGTGAGCTGTACTGTTGGCAAGAGGAGACCTGTCTGTACGCTGGAAACACTCATAACCATTCCTTTAGATTCGTTTGCCTTATGGTTATTTGTCATAAACGCGATTTGCAAAAACAAGGAGCCTTAGTGAATGTACAGTACCTAGACTTCTGTGTTCTCAGGACGCGGAAGGAAGCAACTTTGCTATTTGGTCCAGTAAGTGGACATCTTGTGATATAAATGTGGAAATAAAAAAACCCATTTGCACAAATCAGTCTGAATAATTTCTAAGTTGGTCCTTTACAACCAGATTAGCCCCTTCTGAAAGATTCTGTATTATCCAAGAAGGCTTGGATCCCCCATGGAAGCAAAGCCACATATAGGCACATATGTCTTCTTAGTGAAATTGATCTTCACCTGCCTTCATTAATTCATTGAGGGCCACATGATGTCTCTGTCCCTGTGCCTTTCTCGGTTTCCTGCTAACTTTGGGTGAACTATTGAGTGGGCCACATCAAAAATACTTTGTCTCTATGCATACCTCACCTGCCACAAACAATCCTTCCAGTCAGCCTCCGTGGTTCAGCTCTCAGTGACTCTCCTATCTCCCAAATATTCGTAGTTCTGATATTTGGCTGTGGCTAATTTTAAATAGAGCTTTCCCCCCTACACTATAGGGGAAGTCTCATTTCTTCCCCTTGTCCCTGAAAGTAAAGGATGGTTTTCTAGAATGTTTTCTTTCCATGCTGGGATAGGTCATCTTGCCTATATATACTTAAATTCATTAATAAGGAGACTAGCTACCCCTTAAGAGTGACAACTCCCCTGGGCAAGCCACGGGATTCAGAGACTGTAGCCTTAATGTAGGACTTCCCCACTTCAAGAAAGGCTAGTAGATGACGTGGCTTTGAGGACTGTGGACCTGCCATCTACCCGTTGTGTGGCCTGGGGACAATCGGCCCCTTGGGAGGTGCAGAATGAAGAAGACTAAGTTAAATCATGTCAGTAGAACTGTACCTGCTATGCAGTATCTAGTAACTTTCCTAACTTCACTGTCCTGTTTGCTCACATGTAATGTAGGTAATAAGATACTCTGGCCAGCCATGACGACATGCATTTGGGTGTCCAAGTGACATTTTTTGAGCCTTGGAGGAAAGTTGAGGCTATTAGTATATAGCAGCAGGCCAGCATCCTGTGAACATCCTTTCTCTGAGGTGAGCTTTGGGGCAAGAGGTTGCTCTCAACACTTACAGGCCGGGAACATTTGTGGAGTGTACAGTGCCCCAGGGGACTGAGGCCACTTGTCTGAGAACACAGGTTAAGATGATTTCTCTCCAACATTTTGGGAACCAAGCTAGGTTGCCACTCTAATTTGGTGTGTAAGGTCATGTAAAAGGGAACTTTTAACATACTAACATAGACACTCAAACCCCCACGCCCCCAAGATTAGACGCACAGGATATTAAATTCGGTTAAGTAATGTAAGATCTCGCTGAAAATACTATATATATATATATTTTTTTTTTTTTTTAAATTAAGTACCACTGTTTTACATCCTTTTTACTAGGATTTCTCCAAGTGTGGTCACCGTAGCTCCGTGGGCATCAGCAGCCGGCTGGACACTGCCACTTCTTTGCAGAGTCCAAAGAGGGTGCCATGGCTGGGGTTCCCAAATTGTCCGGGGGGACTGAGTCAAATAGCGTCCCTTTTCTGGACTTAGGTGTGTCCTCCGTGAAACTGCACACGGCGTTCCCAGAACGAGTTTCGGGCCGCCGCTCTGGCTGGCCCCTGGATGGGAAACTGCTCGCTGCCCGTTTGCTAAATCAGCCTGTGGGGAGGCTTCGCACAATTTTGAGTCTCTTCCCGAAAGCTCTGGTCATTTACCTTCGGCCGCCCTCAGGAATCTGGTTGTCGGGTGCCGGTGTGGCGTGTAACTGGCGAGTTTGACCGCGTATGCGGGGTAGATTGCCAGTTTGGTAGATGAGTGCCCAAGTACTATATAACCCACTAGACTCCCGAATCCCCACCCTCCGCTTCCGCGATAGACTCCGCCTCCCGGAAGCTCACCCGATGGTGGGCGGGACCTATCCTTGCTACGTGATGGATGGCGCGTCGGTCGGCGCGCGGCGGTGACGCTTCGCAGCGTCAGCCAATAAGAAGCGGTGTCGACCGGCGTGCCCGCCCCGCGCGGCCCCGCCCCCGCCCGGCGTCTGGCCGTCGGACGGGCGGGAAGAAGCGGCCCTACGGCAGGATGGCGGCGGCTGCGGGTGCTGGGGGCCCGGGGACAGCGGGCGGTGGCGGGGCGCGCGAAGGCGCGCGGGTGGCCGCCTTGTGTCTGCTGTGGTACGCGCTGAGCGCGGGCGGCAACGTAGTCAACAAGGTGATTCTGAGCGCCTTCCCGTTCCCCGTGACCGTGTCGCTGTGCCACATCCTGGCGCTCTGCGCGGGGCTGCCACCGCTACTGCGCGCCTGGCGCGTGCCTCCCGCGCCTCCGGTGTCGGGCGCCGGGCCCAGCCAGCACCAGTCTCCCGGCCCCCTACTTCCGCCGCGCTTCTACCCTCGCTATGTGCTTCCACTCGCCTTCGGCAAGTACTTCGCATCCGTGTCTGCGCACGTCAGCATCTGGAAGGTCCCCGTGTCCTACGCTCACACCGGTGGGTGCCGGGCCGCGCAGCCCGGGGCTTCGGCGCTCGGGTAGGAGTGCACCGGCGGGAGTGCGTCCGAAAGACGCTGTGGGTTGCGCTGACTTTTAGCGGGGGAGGGGCACACACAAGGGTCTTGGGGAGTGGCGGCTTTTGGAAGAGACCTGAAAACTGAGCTGGGCGCATCACAACTGTGGGGGTGAAGCGAGGGGGAACTCTCACTTAAAGAAGAGGGCTGGAGAGGTTGGAGAGTCTGCCAGAGCCCTTCCACTCCGCGGTAGAGTTGTACCGGCTCCCAGGCAGGATCCCTGAGTGCCCTTTACCTTTCTTTGCAGTCAAGGCCACCATGCCCATCTGGGTGGTCCTCCTGTCCCGGATCATCATGAAAGAGAAACAGAGTACCAAGGTAACCCCAGGAGGGCTCTGGGCAGGTGCTTCTGAAAGATTGTTGCCTAGGTGGTGACGTGGTCCAGGCCACTTGGCTTCCTGTTTAATAAGGAAGTTAGTTTAGAAGTCCCTGGTGGCCCTTTTGCTGTTGATGTTGTGGACTCACCCTGGGGACAGTAGTGTGTGTGTTGTGTGCCCCTTTGTTATCTCTACTATGTGGTCTCAGCAAACTTTTCAAGTCCAGCTTTCCCTGCCTGGGCTTACTGGCCATGATCCCATCATGGGCAGGCATCTGTAAGCCCCTCCAGTATGATCAGGGATGAAACTTCTGACTCCTTGCTGGAATGGGATTCTGACAGATTCTTCTAGAGATAGTGGTCATGTTGGGGTCTTCTGGGGTCAGAAGTGAAATACTTGTCAAGGGACTCTGATTTGAGCAAAACCTAGCAAGCTCTTACACATTAAAAAAGGCAAGGATTGTAATTATCTGGGAATGGAACCAAAAACAGCATACAGAGCCCAGGGCTGCCTAAGAAAGATGCTTTGGCACAATCCAGGGTCTGTTCAGGATGCCAAGCCGGGTATTTCCTGACTTGGGGTGAGAGAATCTGTGGCTTCAGGCAGAGACAGCCCTGCTCTGTGTCTTTGAGTAGACATGGGTGTCCTGCTGCCCCAGGTGGTTATGCTGGATGGAGTGCCTCTATTCTACATCATCAGTTTCAGGCATTTTATATTTTATGTAACTTGGAGTGGCCATGCCCTTGATCAGCTTGTAGAAATTAGGCCACCTTGGTCTGATTTTTTTTTTTCCGCCAGCCTATCTTTATCCTGAAAGACCTAGGTTATGCTCTGCAGCCTGTTCCCAGTGATGTCAGGTGTAACTTGCCTGGCCAGGGGACAGTTGCCCAGGTGGTCCACATCACCTGCTATCGCATTGTGTTTGTCAGGTTTACCCATTGTATAGGACATGACTAGAGCAAGGAGGCGAGCCTTCCACAGTGGGGAAGAGACTAGGAACAGCCTAGATGGGAGACTTAGTGTGGCTCTACTTTGTGAGGCAGATAAGGCAGGGAATCATTCCTGGACTCTGGGGGAAAGACAGGACATTAGACTCTCATGACAGTGATGGCAGCTGGTGGTAGGGAGGGGGAACTGGGTTCCTCCGGTCCAGAGTCCTTGCTTTGTCCCCAGGGAAGCACGGGGGAGAGGGTCCCTACCTCCTTCTAAAATTCCATTAGTGCTGTAAAAGTAGCCTTTTGACTGCTAGACATCAGGAATGGATCCCATTTTTCCAAATTAGAGTCATTACCCACCCAAGCCATTTCATGTACCAGTCCTGGAAAGGTGCACCTTTCAGAAAGGCACCTATGTTTGCACTGAGCCCTGTTTGTTCAGCCAGCAGGTAGGGGTGCCAGCTGTATACCAGCACCAGGATGGAGTGGTGAACAGAATTTTCTCTAAAGGAGTTCAGGGCTCAGTGACATATTGTGCAGATTTGGGGCAGGTCAGAGTGCTATAGCAGGGATATGCAGCAGAGGAACCTACAGGTCTGATGCGAAGTGCCTCCCAGGATGTTCTCATGAGTGGTGTGTAAACTGAAACCTTCGGGGGAGGAGGGGCCTTCAAACCACATGGCAGGGACATAGACTTAGACGCAGATGTTGGGGAGTATATCACAGCCAGAAGTGTCTGCTTGTTATAAGAGCCCCAATAAGCAGCATCCAGCCAACTTCTAAGGATAGGGATTCTTGGGTCCAGCCTCTCCCAGGATTGGGAGGTAGGAGGTTTCAGACCCAGCATCTCCAAGAATCGGGGTTTCAGACCTAACTTATGATCAGGAGTTTCAGACCAGCCTCTTCCAGGATCAGGGGATATCCACACTGGTGCATTGGATATCCAGTGGCCGTGGGGCTGATCTGTTATGATCAGTCCCTATTTGTGGGGCTCTTAGTAGGGATGATGGTGTGGGGGTAGGATACTACCAATTATATGGGGAGGGATTGGTAGTGTGTCCCCTTGGTGAGGGAGAAGACAGCATTGGAGGCTTCCCTGTAGGTCTGCGTTTGGGCTACCCGATTTGACCCCAGCCATCCCTCTTGCCTTGTTGCAGGTGTATTTGTCACTCATCCCCATCATCAGTGGTGTCCTACTGGCCACTGTTACCGAGTTATCCTTCGACATGTGGGGGCTTGTCAGTGCCCTCGCTGCCACACTGTGCTTCTCCCTGCAGAATATTTTCTCTAAAAAGGTATGTGGGCAGTATATGTGGGGTGCATGTGGCATTAAGGGTGTGCAGGTGACACTTGAAAAAGTAGGGATTTCTTCAGTCTTAGAACAAAAAAATTCCTGTTGCCCTTCTGCTGGTTTTCTGTTATTTGTTTTTTATTTGTAGTTTATTTTCTACTATAGAGGTAACTTACATGCAATGTGAAGAAATACAGAAAAACTCAGTGGGGAAAACAAAATTAGTTGAGCACTTACTGCATGCCAGGGACATTAATGGGTGCTGGAGATGAAGAATCAGAAACATGCCAGAGATTTCTGCTCTACTGGGTAAAGTCACTGCACTGTCCCTAGAGGGACTTTTTCCTGCACAATTTTTAGAGTTGTAATATTACAAATATATTCTTAAGTTTTGCTGCTTTGTTCCAGTATTATTGTAACACAGCATTCTCCCTTATCATTGGTAATATCGCTCTTAACTCCTAAACTAATTATACTTTTTTTCAGGCATCACAATTAATGCAATCAGTTCCCCAGTTATAAACACAGGTTGTTCCCAAGTGTTTGTTCAAAGTAATATAGTAATAAAAATCTTTGGCATAATGCTTTCCTCTTTGTGGGAAAGTATAGACTTATAGTTTTGGGGTACAGGCCTCATTATATTTTGCCTAGTTATATTTCAGAAGAGCTGTGTATCAATTCAGACTTAGACCAGTAGACTTTTAGGGGACTTGTTTCAGTACAACTTCCCTGGCCTTGAGTGTTGCTGTGCAGTTTTTTGTTCATTTGATTTTTTTCATTCCTTCATGCCTGAGCCCTCATGCTTGTTTCAGGAACAGGCATTATCATCGTGGGTGACCTGCAGGTTAGGCAGTCAAGGTTAATGTACAGTTACTGCATTTGGAGCCTTGGTAATTAGAACCCTTCCTGCCACTTATATTTTCTGTCACTTTTTAAAGAGGCTTCTTTCTTCAGGTATTGAGAGACTCTCGGATCCACCATCTCCGGTTGCTGAACATCTTGGGCTGTCATGCCGTCTTCTTTATGATCCCCACGTGGGTCCTGGTAGACCTCTCGGCCTTCTTGGTCAGCAGTGACCTGGTGAGTTGGGCAGCAGTGAAAACACACCCTCTTCTTGCCTGGCTCCTTTCTGTGGACTTTGGGGTGTCCCAGCCCTTTGAACACTCAGTCTTTTGTCATGACTCATACTGTGGCTAGTTGCGGAAGTAAGTTGGTTTACTTTGTATTTCCTTTTCGGGTGCACTAGATCCTCAGCTGATGGTTGTGGCATTAAGGAAAAAAATACCAACATAGGACTCCCTCTTTGCCAGTCCAATTTGGATCTTAATTCAACTTATTAAAAATAGGGTTTACACCACTGGATTCTGTCTTTGGTGTCATTTTGTGCATATTTCCATGCACTGCCAAGTCTCCACTGCTCCCCATGCACAGGAGAGTCCCACCCAGCTGTAGGACCAGCTTCCTTGCTAGAAATGAATGTAACTGACGGCAGGGGGAAGGAGACTGATCATTAGTTCTTCCAGACTAGAGAGGGGAACTTAGGAGGTTCTCCGATAGGGTAGTTTCTTTCAACATTGACTCCTTGTGACATTGATGAAAAGAAACAAACTGCAGCCTATGTTTTTATGAAATAATGTTATTCAAGTACCTCCTTTCCTTTTTGAAGAAGCTGTGGTGTTAACTGAGACTGAAGTGTCCATTAGGGCTTACTTAACGAGGCCATCCAGATTCTCAACATTGTTCCCTGATGCCTTGCTCCCCCTGTGGAAGTCATGGAGCATCTCTTTATTTTTCACTCAAGTAGACTGGCTGTTTCCTGACTTCCCTTCTGTGGTCCTTAGCTATATTATTTCTGTGTAGAACTTTCTGTAATCAGTCAGGACTAGTTTGTTATCTTGAAGTATAGTTTATGATTGGCAGTTTAATACTTCTCCTTCCTCTTAATTATCAACTTTCAGAGTCAAGAGCTTTAAATGTTAATTGGTAAGTTGAGGTGATTTTGTTTTGTTTTTTAGGGAGGTAGCAGGGGGGTGAAGAGGAAGCAAGACTTCTTTGAATAAATCTTAAATTGTTTGGCTTTGGAAGTAAAAAGTTTGAAATATTCAGTACAGAAAATTTTATTTTTCAGCATCATTGTAAGCTCATGTTTGTCATTAGTATACATTCTTATCCACATTATCCTGTCTTGGCTGGTGGACATTTTCTTACCAGCTCCCTGACCTTCAACGCCCATACCAGACTTTGGATCTGCAGGGTGCCCACTCGCATTTTGTGCATACTCCAGGCCTGCCATCTGTCACTCCTGTGGGAACTTCAATTGCTTTAGTGGAGAGAGGTGTCCAGAGACACAGCCTGAGTGCCGAGTGCATGCTGCTTTGAGCTTGTCATTGCTTTTAGGACTTTGCAGTGAAGAATCTATTGGAGGCAGCAGGAAAGAGTTCATACTGATGTTCCAATCCCAATTTAACATTGTAAGATACTTTTCTGCTTTAATTTTTAAAAAATTTATCTTCCTTGGAATATTACTTGTGAACATTATTCTACTGTACAAATGTGTACAAAGTTACTTCAGAGAGAGAGTCTCTGGGGATAGCTTTAGGTTGTGCACTGAGGGAAGTTTAAGATTTCTTCTCAGATTTATTTGTCCTCTTTGTTTTCTTGCCACCACTGAATGTGTCAGACTTTTATATTTCCCAAACCAAACAATATGATAAGTTACAGCCAAAGAAATCTGACTTGAATCCCTTAACCTCCACCCTAAACCTCTTTCCTTCATAGGTAGCCATTTTTACACTTTATGTGCATTTCTTTCCCCAAATATAAACAGATCTCCTTACACAAAAAGTAACCTTTTAGATATTTAGAAAAAGTGCCTTGCTCTTTTTACTCAGTTTTATGTCCTGGTGATAACTTCATATTGACATGTAAGGTCTAGTTATTTCTTTGATTGGCTGCTGTTTCTTATATGTAAGATGTTTTTAAAATTTCCTTTCAGTGATTGCCCTTTTTGTAACCTTTTTTAAATTTTTCATTGACATCATGTTTTTTTTCCCTCAATGGGGCCCTTACATGTTTGATCAGCAGCCCTAGGAGCAAGTGGTATTCAGCACCGCTGCAGCATGGACGTGGAATTCCCACCTCTCAGGGCTCCTCTCTGTCAGTGTCTTCCACAGAGACGCTGAGTAAATTAGCTCAGACCTGAGCTGTACTCTGCGGTGGGAGTGAGGATCCAGTAGGACACCAGCTGGGGTCTGCTGTTTGCCACGTTACCAAATCAGAGACTGCAGGGGGTGGTTCTTGGGCGGTTGGACATTTCTGCTGTCCACAGCTCAGCTGAAGCCAGGTGGAGAGGCCAGAACAGGTGGCCTGATTCTAAAGCTTGGACAAAATGCGTGAAATGGCTATTTGGGAAATGAAAAGTAAGAGGTGGGTGGCCAACAGGCTGAGGGAGAAGGCCAGAATCTGAGTATTGCTGACCAGTGCTGAGTCAGTCTTTCTTTTGCCTCCTTACCTGTAGCTTGACCCGGAAAGAAGTAGTGGGCACTGACTGAGAACAGAGCAAGGAGCCCTCTACTGTGGCTCAGGGACTAAGAAAGGGGATTGCAGCCTTTCAGAGAGTGAGGGAAGTCCCCTACTGGGTTTTTCTGTTTACTTTGTTACCTTCATTCTCTTGTGTCCCAGGACTTTGGCAATCCTGTGGTGATTGTGCAGGACAGGTAGCAAGAGCACCGAGGCACCTGAGATGCAGAGGAGGTGCACCCTCCTACATTCAAAAGATGGTATCAGCCCCTGCTGCTTGTCTTTCTTTATCTGCCACATGTTGGCCCTCGATGGAGGTCAGTCTGCTGAAGGACACAGCAGAGTGGGGTAATTTAGCCCCAGCCTTCTGAGAACGGGAACAGGGAGCCCTAGGAGACCAGAAAGTACCAAGATGATCATGGAGAGGAAGAAACTAGGGAACATGACTTCACCCATGTTGTGACTATTTAGAATCTCTTCCTGAATAGCATTCCAAAAATGCTGAAGACTGAAACTTGGGGCTTAGATTGATCACATGGTAAATGTGCCCACAGGACACAGACACGTTCCACTGAGAGAGCTCTGTACACAATTGACTCTACAGCCACAACCCACAGAAAACTGGTCAGTTTTGTCAGAATCCAGCTGTGTGGGCTAAAACAAAATATCAACATTCTTCAAATGGATTTAAACAGACCTGCAGTCTTACAATACTCTGAATATCAAGGATATGATATAAAATCACATGGCATGTGAAGAACAGGAAAAATTCAAGTCATGGGAGAAGATAGGCAACAGATACCAGAACCAAAGTGACAGATTTTGGGGATGGATTATCAGACACAGCACTGTTTATGGTCATGCTCCTGAAAGTCAGGGTGAACATTTTGGAGACAAGTGAAAAGAATAGAATTAAGATGAAACAAATGGGAACTTTAGAATGGAAGAAATAGTCACTTAAGGACTTACTGAAGGGGTCCAAGAACAGAATGGAGATCATAGAGGAAGGCACCAACAACTTAAAATTAAGTCAATAGGAAGGATCCAGATTGGGAGGGGAAAATGATGAAAAGACAAGTGCTTCTGGGAAAACAGCAATTTGGATGACTTTGGATTTCTTGAGAAACCAGAATGCCATAAATAGCATTTTTGCAGTTGTAAAACTGTCAATCTGGAGTTCTAGAACCAATAAATGTAGTCTTCAGAATCAGTAAAACTACAGAAATCAGCAAGGAAAATCATTCAACTTGATATATAATTTTATACTCATAGAAAATGCTACCTAATAAGAGCAGAATAAGCATTCTTTTCAGGTACAGATGGAGCATTCACTCACCAGGATAGACAATGCTCTGTTCCATAAAACCTTAATAAATTTAAAATGAATTAAATATACAAAGCATATTCTCTAATGGCTTTAAAAGTCAGTAACAAAATCTCTGTACACTTGGAAATTAAACAGCAAATTTCTAAATGATCCATGAGCTCAAGAAGTCTCAAGGTAACTAGAAGATATTTTCAACTGAAGTAAGACAAAAAAATAAAAGAGTGAGAAAGACACTACAGTTACCAGGAATGAAAGGAGTATCACTACAGCTGACATAAGTTCAACAACAAAGATGACATAGATCAATTTTCATAAATCCTAAGACACCAAAACTCACCTAGTCACTTGAAATAGATTGCCTGAAAGGCCCTACAGCTATTAAATTGAATTCATAGCTTAAAACCTTTTAAAAAGAAATCATCACGCCCAGATGGTTTCACTGAACATTTCTATACTTTTTAAAAGAAACTGAACCAATTCTTCAAAATATCCCCAGTAAGCAGAAGAAAAACTTAAAAAAAAAAGACCAACATCCTGTATGAAATCAGAGGCAGAAGCACTTAGCTAGATACCAGCAGATCAAAATCAGCAGTGTATAAAGTATAGCTCCATGAAAATGTGGGGTTTAAATCAAGAATGCATTTGATTGAACATTTGAAAGACAGTCAGTGTAACCTACTTTAACTGTGTAATGAAGTTAAACACATAGTCATATTAACTGTACAAATCACAGAATCCAACATCCATGCATTCATAATTTTTAAAAAGATTTATTTATGCAAGAACTGAGGTATAGGCCAGAGGTGTGGGGGGTGGAGTGGGGTGAGAGTATTCACCAGAGACAGAGTGGGGAGCAAAACAGGCAGATGTACTGAAACACATTGCTGAAGGGAACAGTGGGTGCAACAGAAGAGGTGTGCTGCACTAGGTGGGTCACCTCCCTGGCTGGGGCTTAAATGCATGCTACAGTGGCTGGTGGTCACTTGACAGTGCTCTTTCTTTAACCCTGTGTCATTCATTCAGGGAGGCCCATTCATGATTTTTTCAAACCAACAAATTAGAAAAAGGAGGGAGCTGGCTCCTCTAAGCCACAGGATTTATAGCTAAAGTGATGATGAAAGGTTGAAGACTTAATCGTAAATTCAGGAATAAGACAAGGATCTTGACATGTCGTGCATACCTGCACCTGGTTCTTGCATGCAAAACATAGCATTCCACATCATAGCCAGTGCAATAAGGTAATAAATACAGATTTAAAAAGAAATGAAATCCTTCTTAAACAAAATCTTGTTTCTAGAGATTTAATTTTAAAATTAAGTTTTCTTCTCTGGCAAACCAATAATGAAAAAGTTGAGATACACTAACGTATGATCCATGTTTTTGTATGTGTGGAAATACAGTTATGCATTGCTTAACACTGGGATATGCTCTCATTTGACCGTTAAGCAGTCATTGGACATCACAGAGATCACACAATAAGATTGTACAGCCTATAAGGCAGGGAGGCTGTGTGGGGCCACGGTTGGCTGTGTAATCTGTTGGCAGAAATCTCATTAAGAAATGCATAACTTGAATGTATCTGTATTCATATTTCTATACTTATATATATAATATGCATATGTACTTTTAATACAGATAAACTTAGAAAATTCACGTAGGAATAGGAATAGCCAAAGTTTGAAAAAGAAAAATAAAATTGGGGTAGCCGCATTTCTTAAATTTAAGTCTTGGCATGTCGAAACAATGTAATATTGGTGAAGGAAGAGACACATAAATCAGTGAAACAGATTATAGAGTTTGAAACTAAACTCATGCAACAATGGATAATTAATCTGACAGTTGCAGAGACAATTTGATGGAGAAAAAGTAATCTCTTTAACAAATAGTCTTGGAACACTTAACATCAGTATGCAAACAACTGAGCACTGATTTAAAACCTGATCCATTATGTAAAACTTATTTCCTAATACACTGTAGACTGAAGTTGAAGCACTAAAGTGAATTAAAAAAAAAAAAAAACAACCAAGCCCATAAGGAAAAACTGGTTTTAAAAAAATTTTTTTTGTCAAAATTATAAACTGTTCTGTGAAGACACCACTAGTACGTAAATGCAAAAACAAGCCGCAGACTTAGAGGACATAACTTGCAACTGACACAGATAATCTGCATTCAATATAAGACTATTAAAATGTGGCCCTCCATGGTGTTGCAGCAGGTTAAAGCACAGCACTGTGAAGCTAAAGCCACTTCAGCATGAGTTCGATCCCCGCCTGCCCTGGAGGTGACCACATGGCGTGGCAGACCTCTCCTGGCCCGTCCAATGCTCCCCTTAGCAATGTAGTTCGATGATCTGCCTGTTCTGCTCCCCACTCTGTCTCTGGTGAATCCTCTCACCACCCCTGAGCCTCTGGCCTGTACCCTACCTAGTTCTATGTGCACACATAAATACATTTCTTTTTTCTTTTTTTTTTTTAAGATTTATTTGTGCATATAGAACTGGGGTACAGGCTAGAGGCTCAGGGGCAGCGAGAGGCTTCACCAGAGACAGAGTGGGGAACAGAACAGGCAGATCCACGAAGTACACTGCTGAGGGGAGCAGCGGGCGGGTCAGGAGAGGTCTGCCAGCCATGTGGTCACCTCCGGGACAGGCGGGAATCGAACTCACACGGAAGCGGCTTTAGATTCTCAGTGTTGTGCTTTAACCCGCTGCGCCACCAGGAAGGGTCACATTTCTTAAAAATAAATAAAAATGTGCAAAGGAGACTTGAATAGATGCTTCACCATTGAGATTGTACTGATGACATGTTGATTGACCCATGAAATATGTTCTTTGTGGGCCCTCCCTGGTGGCACCAGACACAGCATTATGAAGCTCTCTGCAGCCACTGTAGCAGCAAGTTTGATCCCTGGCCCTGGAGATGACCCACAAGCCATGGCAGACCTCTTGACCCACCCTCTGCTCCCTTCAGCTGTGTACTTCAGTAGATTTGCCTGTTTCCCTGCTCTGCCTCTGGTGAATCCTTATACCCCTCCCCCCGGTACCTCTGGCTTGTGCCCCAGTTCTTGTATGCATAAATAAATAATTCTTTAAAAAAAAAATATGTTCGGGCCCTCCCTGGTGGCGCAGCAAGTTAAAGCACAGCACTGAGAATCTAAAGCCGCTTCTGCATGAGTTCGATTCCAGCCTGCCCCGGAGGTGACCACATGGTGTGGCAGACCTCTCCTGGCCCGTCCAATGCTCCCCTTAGCAATGTCGTTCGTTGATCTGCCTGTTCTGCTCCCCACTCTGTCTCTGGTGAGGCCTCTCGCCGCCCCTGAGCCTCTGGCCTGTACCCCAGAAGACCAACATCCTGTATGAAATCAGAGGCAGAA